GACCACCATCTGGATCACACCATCTATTATCCCAAAGGCCCAAGAGCTCCCGACAATCTGGAGGCAGACCCTCTGACTCATGAGGACAGGATAGTGAAGTGGGTGGCTAATGGCCACATAGCGGTCATAAGCCATGAGTCCCAGCAAGAGCCCCTCAGATCCCACAAGACAGACAAATTGGCCAATTTGTATGCCACAACCCACAAAGGAGATGGACTTCTTGCCAGACAGGAAGTTTACCACCATCTTTGGCACAATGGTATAAACCAACATGAGGTCCCTGAGAGAGAGCTGACTGAGGAAAAAGTACATGGGTATGTGAAGTCGAGAAACTATGTAGATGAGGAAGAGGAGGAGAACATTCCCACAGAGGGCCACTGTGAAGACCACCAGAACGACAGAGGAAAGGACAAGGTCAGTTGGACTGCGAGAAAAAATGCCCAAGAAGATGAAGTCATCTGTGGTTGATTGATTCAACCATATCTCCATGTCTTAGTTGATGTTCCCGGTCACCTGTGAGTGTGAACAATAAATATTGGATTGACTGACATTTCTTTATTACCTCTGCATTCTACATCTTCAGCCAGCTGTTTTGTTTGTAACTCGTGAGACCTCAACAACATAAACTTTGGGACATAGAAGGGACACTCCTTTGTATTCCCATCTGACAGCAATAGAAGTCATACTAGCTTGTAGAATGGACCAACTATCTATTTGTGTAAATCCTTACCAGGAAGTTTATCATAGGACCCCTCTGCAAGTAGAGTTTTGGTTTTATTATAGCATATTGAGTCTTTTATGATATCACACAGATTTGGTAAACTATGTTAAGCATAAAGCATATATTTCTCCAAACTCATCCTGTCAAATGTTGTTGTCTTTTAGGTCTCAGCACAAACCTGCTTCTGCCATTGAAGGGGTCCCAAGTAACCCCCGTGCCAGGTGATCTTTTCTCCTCTGGTTTTCTACATCACATTTCTTTGCCCTGAGAATGTGCTCCTTGGGTTGCTGTTACGGTTCATGGCAGCCTTCCAACTGGTTTCCCTTGCCTCTCTACCCAGCAGCTGGAGAGTTAAACCGTCTGAAATGCAAGTCAGATGATGTCACTCTTGGGCTCAAGACAGGCCATTGGCTCCCAACACAGATCCAGGCCAAACACTTGCAAGGCCCCCAAGTCCTATACAACCCACCCCCATGGATGCTCTTCCCACACTCAATACTGCAAGCTGGGCTCTGACTCTTGTCCCCTTACTCAGGGTGTTTCTGCTACCAGAACCTCCTTATTCTTTCCTGGCTCAAGCCGGACACACTCTCACCCTAGGACATTTACTTTCCCTTTTCTTTTCTTTCTTTTTTAAAAGAATTTCTTTATTTGACAGAGAGAAAGAAAGAAAGATCATAATTAGGCAGACAGGCAGGCAGAGGGAGAGGGAGAGGGAGAAGCAGGCTCCCTGCTGAGCAGGGAGCCTGGTGCGGGGCTTGATCCCAGGATGCTGGGATCATGGCATGAGTGAGCCAAAGGCAGGCACTTAACTGACTGAGACACACAGGCGCCCCTACCTTCCCTTTTCATGGAATGTTTCTCTTCCAGCTAACTTCATGGCTCACCCTCACTTCAGTTCTATAATAAGTGTCATTGAGAACTTCTCTGCAAAGCCTCCAATGTTCCTATCTATGTGTGTGTTGACTTAACCAAATAAGAGGATTAAGTAACAGGCAGTTGCAATCTCCAAGTTTTGAGAGCAGAAAGCCTGGATTCTTTCATTGCAGAAGCTTTTGTTCTTGACCTGAATATACTACGAATTCGTGGCTGGATTCTTTCCTGTGAGGGACAGTGAATATCTTCAGGTACTTATAAATGACGAAGATGTTCTCCAAAAATGGGTGAGAGTAGTATCTAGGATATATTTGTGAGGAGTGTATTCACCTCTACTTCACTTCCCTGCAAAGAGGAAATGCAAAGACCCCACAGGACAGTTTTCTGATTTACCAATGAAACCTATATTCCTGATGTCACTTTTGCTCATGGCAGGATAACTGGCTCCTAGAAGAGTGCCTGGCATATATTATGTCCTCAATAAATATTGTTCAATGATTATTGTAAAGCGCAAACGACTAAAGAAACTATCCTAGCATCTCTCATGCTCATTTTTTGCTCTCTAAATTTATTTCTCTCTGTATAGTTAATGGCTTCATTGTTTTCCTAGAAAAAACACCATGAAAGAATTCACCTTGTCTCTACAATATTATTTTGGGGACAAGGTGACTCCTTGTTGCCTTTTAGCCCAACAGGCAGAGATGACAGATGATAGAAAGATGATAGATAGATGATAGATAGATTATAGGTAAGTAGATAGATAGATGATGGAAGATATATAGGCAAACCGAAAGATCACACATTAGACTTTGGATATCTCAATACGGAAGAAACTTATAGTCCTCAACAGATTGCCCCCAATGACCCACATCGATGTTACTTCTTCCAAACCCAGCAAACCAAGGAAGGAAGGGTGAAACACAAGAATCAAAATGACAGAAGCAGGAGAAATAGTGAAAGGAAAGACTCTTGCCCTCTTCCCCATGGTGGGTCCCTAAGCCCTGTCAGGCCTGAGCTAGGCAGAGGTGATCAGATAGGTTCTGAATTAAATGGAAGATTTAAGTCGTGACTTGAATAAGGCTGGATCATAGCCTACTGAAAGCAGGTCTTGATTAGCTAAGTAGGGTGGGACTTACACCCAAAGCTGACCAGACAGCTCTGCAATCAACCTGATATCCATCAAGCGGTGGGCAAGACGATTCCAGGTATGGAGGTGGTCCTAGCTTAAAGTAAAGCTCCTTTTTTTGGTAACCAATCAAGTTTCATCCAATCACTATGTGTTTTCGATAAATGGTAATATAACAGATTTTTCATGACAAATACAATTGCAAATTTTACAGACAATAGTCTAAAGGGACTTACATAGGCTGAAGTGGATGTGTGTCAAATCTGTGGGAGGTGAGAATAATAACAATGAACTTTCGATGAGCTTTATAGAATGAATTAAGTTTCAATAGGAAATACCAAGCTGGCAAACTAAGTTCCAATGGAACAATAACTTGAACGAGAATGTGGAGGTGGTAATTCTTCAGTTAAATATTGGAACCAGAGAGATTACTGGGTATCAGATTAAGTAGAAAAGGAAGCTGGAACAGAAGAGTGTAAGATGGCTATAGGGAGTTTCTTCAAAAGCCAGGTTGCTGTGCCTAGAACGTTTGGCAGAAAACCTATTTTTTCTGGGTGCCTCTGTCTCCATCTCCCTGTGTCTTCTAACATCTCCCATCAATCCCCCTTCTCTTAGCCCTCTGATCCATTCTCTCTTCTCTGTGCATCAGTCTCCAATTGAAGCCCCAAGAGCTTTGTATGGCAGGTAAAACATGTGTTTTACTATTGTGAAAATAAAATGAAAACCAGTCAAATAAAACTGAAGACTCAAAACAAAAGATAAATTGGCTATTTTGCCCACTGGTTTCCAATGAATTGGTCATTTTAAAAAGTGACCTGCTTCCATGATATAAGGCCAAAAACAGAGCAACTGTAAAATTTTCATCCAACCTGGGATACTCTTCAGATGGCGAGAGAGTGCTGTCCAGGATTACACTGGGAAGACCGGCATAATATCTGTAGACCACAGGGCTATCCACAGTAAAATGTGAAAGGCACTGAGTTTAGAGAAATGTCTGACAGTTTTGGGATGACAACCATTTCCCTGCCACCATCTGACTCTTCTGAATGTGGGTACTCTTCTTTCCCTCCACTGGGTTTTAATGCCCATAAGGCTAGATTGTATTAAGTCCCCACCATTGATTCCAGTACAGTGTCTCACCTAGTGTGCTGTATCGTGGGCCTTCAGTAGATATAGAGTGACTTCATGGGACAGGTAAAGAACAAGTGTGGATTGCATGGTATAGAGGCAGACTACTGGGACAGTCACAGATGGAGACCCTGTGAGGGTCCTTAGAGTTACTGGGGAAGTATGGAATGTGTCTGCAGTTGGAGGGAGAGCACCAAGAGCAGCTTCCTGCCCTTGACAAGGTTTTCTCACACTATCCCAACTGGCCCCTCTCTGGTCCTGTCCCCAAACTCCCTGATTGGGTTTCTTTAATTGTAAGCTTGGGACCTACTATTCCAGAGCTGGAGTGTGTGGACTTCCCTGGGAGTCAACAGCTTCACCCTCCTTGCCCAGGCTTAGTGTTAAGTACCTGCATTGGCAGTGGGAGACAGAGGCAATCTGGGCCTCTGTGGAGGCCCACAATCTGGGCAGTTTGTGGAAGGTGGATTGGTGTCTGTGGGTGGGCTGGGATGCACAGGTGCTGGTTCTGTGCCCACCACCATCTCATCTCTTTAAGTCTCCTTTCTTTCATTCCACTTTTACTGAGAAGAGGCTGTTGTCTGTTTGAGTCTTACTGTTTGAGCTAGAGAGCCACGGGAGGGCTGAGAGTGATAAGGGCTTTGATAGCCTGCTTGAGAGGTGAGTGAGGGGCTGAGGAAGGACAGATTTGGAAGGTTATTCCTTCTCTCCTCTGACCCAGTAAGTACAAACTCAGGGAAGGACAATGAAATTATGTTGGTGTTAGAAATTCCTCCACAGGATATCTGCTGGTTTTTTTTTCTTCCAGGGAACCCATTTAAAGGTGAGTGAGGGTCTTTCCATATCACCTCCTTACCTCTTCCTTGCACTTTCTATTATTGATTTCAGGTCATTCCTCCACTCCTATTTGTTTATCAGTATTTCATCTTCCTCTTATTGTCTGTCCCCTTCAGTTCCTTTTGGGGGCGGAGGATAAAGGGCTTGAGCATATTCTTTCTAGTGTTATGTCTTCTAAAACAGAGACAACAGATGAGTGGGAAGAGGTGCAGGTGAAGGAGAGACCGAAGGGCTGATATAGGACATAGAGTTAACTTGTCCCTAAAATTATACTGTAGAGTCAAAGTCTCCTTTTGT